ATTTTCAGAGATGATGCTAATGGACCTAAATTATCGATTTCAATAAAAAAACTAATATCAAAATGGCGCTTACGTCCATTTTGAAAAAAGGCCTGCCCCCTTCAATAATTGATTTTATCGTTTTTTATGTACTTAATAATACCATAATAAAACAATTTTTGTTGGAACGAAAATATGTCTACCAAATTTAAGACGATCGAAGCATAATTCACCCGAAACCCATATGAGATCTTCTTCAGAAAATGACTTAAACGCACATAAATGGCTTTCAAATGTCGATGTAATAGTTATCATTATGATAGAATTATGGTAGAATTAAAAAAATACTTTAAATTATGGAAAACTTGGTCCATAATTGACCCAATCCCACATTTAAAGTCCCTATTCCGAAAATCACGCTGACGTTCTTAATAATCTAATGATCAAAGTCCATATATATATGTATATGACCACTTCCAAATTTGCTTTTTTACGACATATGATTTGCCGAATATATGTAACTCTTACTTCTTAATTATTTTAATCATAAAGAAATTACCACTAAAATAGAAGTAGTCTGCCTTTAGAGTTAGAAGTTTTCATACACTCACTTTTCAATCTCATTGTGATCCCTTTAATTGAGGTTGTTCTGGTTCTCATTTTCCCTAACTGGACCTATTTCATTCGTTTTGATCATTTTCTTAATGCAAAATTTTTAAGAAAATGATTTTCTGCAAGATGTTTTATATGGAGGATAGGGTCAAATATAGGCCGATCCTCGTAAAACTTGGAGAAAGGATTTGTTTTTAATTTTTAAGAATTTTTTATCCATCCTTGCATAATTTCTCTCACAACTTTTGTGCTTGCTCTGTTTTGTTGTTATAAACAATATATTTGCTTCCAAAATCCCACTTTCTGATCTCTCGGATTCCGTTTTTATTTAAAATCTTTGAAAATTTAAAAACTAAACTTAGTTGAAAACTTAGCCGGCTTACAGTCGATTTTAAGCCGCCGCCGACGTATTTAGTGTCAGTCGCCGCCGCTGTTAATATTTGTCGGCACAGGGCTCTGAATGGAAGAATAAAACAAATAGAAGTAGATGAACAAACCAATACAAATAAAACAGCAGTAAATAGACAGCAAAAGCCTATAAATTAGAAAAAATATTTTTATTCTTAAACATAAAAAATAAAAACTGTGATTACTATAATTATTACTTGATTCTTAAAAAAACATAATTTTTTGTTGGAGTTGTTTGAATACAAAGAGAACGAATAGGTGTGTTTTTAGTTGTAGTTGCTTTCATTATTTGCATTCACCCTTTATTTTACGACGCACATAAAAGTTTCATGTTTTTTTGTCAACATAAATCCAATTGGGGAAGAAAAAGTGAAAAATTTTAATGTATAAATTAAAATAATATACATATATGTACCGATACGTATATGTTTTGAATTTTTTTTATTTTTGGAAAGAGGTAAGTTCAAAAAAAAAAAAATTCATATTGGTACTGCCACCTTACTGCTGTTTGCAATATACATACATACATGAATGTATATACAACATATGTAATATATAGAAAAGTAGTTATAAAATAAAAAAATATACATACTTATACATAGTATTTTTTTCGGATTTCATATAAAAATTCCTGAAAGTAAATTTTATTTTTATCATATATCTTTAAATACAAAGCGCCAGTTCATACTTTTCTTCAAAAAATATTATGTACCTCTATTAGAATACAAACTTATTACAGTGCGAGCTCGATTTGCGCAATGGTCCCAGTTGGTATTGAGTTGCCTAAGTGTAGCGGACATTTTGGGTTTTTTTAACAAATCATTTTTTTAGAATCCCCACAGAAAATTTTTAGAGTACTCGGAATTGTAACCAATGTTGTGTGCTTTACTTTGTGTTACATACAATTTGATTTACTTGTATATAAAATCCGGATAAGAAGTTTAAATTTTTTAATATTTTTTTTTTGCATTACATCTTAATATACTTGTGATAAACATTGTATATGATAACAGAAAATTAAAATATGAAAAAAATCAAGTGTGCTGTAATTTAATCAACAAAAAACTTTGATTTATTGAAAAATATTTTTGGGTTTAACATTTTTTCAATGTTTAAATGAATTTTAAGCAAAATTTATCATGGTAGAAAAATATTAGAAGGTAGTTTCGATTTGATATTTTTGACGAGAATGGAGATTTTTGAAGTTAATTTTATTTGTAAATATTTAAAGAAAGCATTGCCACATTTCTAATATGGTTGTATCATGATCCCTGTCTAAAAACTAGTTATAATACATACATATGGAGAATTTCGTGTCAAGTGACCCAACTTTTAAAATAGATGTCTACCGATTTGGATGAAATTTGCACCAAGGTTAGTACTATGGAATAGTAGGCCTTCACTTAGCTCTATCGGCCTACACTTAGCTCTATCGGTCAAGAACTGCCGGACTTAGAGGGGGACAAAGTTGGACATTTTAGTCATACAGGGTTTTATTGAAATGAGAGTAACTTTTCGCCTATTGATCCTAGCAAAAATTGTTAGAAGGAGTTCAGATAGCTATTTATTCAATGTTTCCAAAAAATGTTTTATAAAAAATAAAAATAAAGAAATTCTAAGAAATTCTATGGCCCAAAAGAAGTTGATAAAAAAACACAAATAATCTTCGTAAAATTTGCAATATTTATTTTTATTGTAATAACAAAGTTATCATTACAAGAGTATTGCATCTAGAAGAACATTTTTTGAAGATAGAGAAAACAATCTTATAAAATTTAACTTAAAAATATTACAATATTGAAATCTAATTTACTTGCAAAAAGAACATAAAAATAAAGAATTATAATATATTTCTGAGAAAAAAAAATATATAGTTTTATCAAGTTTTCATTTTATTTTGAATGTTCTTAAAATTCAGTACAGTTTAATTCAGTATAATTCATAATTTAGTTTTATTAATATGAGCGGTGTAAAAACAAAGGCAGCAATTTCTATTTTTGAATAAAAGGATTTGTCTGAAGATATTTATATTTAAGTTTCCTACTTACTTAGGCCCATTATTACAACTTGCCAATAACGAAAGATATGATTTTATAATGCCGATAATTTGTTTCTCGTTATTACATGTACAAGGAAAGATAAACTGGCGAATGATCTTATGCTTTATCGATATCTTTTAACTCAAGTACAATTATAATCACCCTTATTCGGTATTTCAATTCGAATATTTTCTCCGTTTGGCAACTTTGGTATTCTGCAAACAACAACTTACAAAATCGTAGCTACGATCTTAATGCAGAATACATTATATTATACATACAATCGTAAAGCATTGAAAAGAAATGGAATTGCTTTTTTTTTTTACGATTCAGTTCTTTGTTGGAATACATTTTTTCGATCGTTGCTGAACGCGTAAACGTAATCGAAATGCAGAATAGGGGTGAATAACAGAAACGAGTTATCTGCATAATAAAGTCCTACCGTTAGTTTTTATCAAGTAGTAATAATCAGTATTAGTATTATTTATAAATTTATACAAACTATATTTTATAGTTCTAAATCAATAAAGTCTAGTTTTCTGGAGAACAAAAAAAAAAAAAAAAAAAAACTAATTCGTGATATATAATACAAAAAGACAAGGATTATTTCATAATACTTTTTTAAAACCTTAGTAATTTAATTTGGAAAACTCATGGCGTATCTGCTCACTTACTACTTCTTAGTCTCAATACAAATATTTTAACTTATGAAATATTTTTTTATAAAAAAAAAGTACTAATTTTTTTTAATAATACTTGTATATTTTGTTGTGGAACATTTCTTATTTCCTTTTCAATTTTGAATTTGGTGAAAATCGCTCAAAGAAATTGCGTTGCCCGATTCTTTTCCAAGAAGCCCCGATTCCACCAAACATCGCGAAATAGTTGGCTTAGATATCGCTATATCCATTTTTTTCTCAAATTTATCGCTAGATTCCCGTGGATGATTTCTTTAGATCAGCTTTGGAGATTCGTCTTATCATCCGGTTTGGGGTGGTCTGATGTTTTTCTAGAAAATTTTTGACGTGGAGAGCTAGTATCAGTGTCATATTTGTTAATATACTATAAATGCTATTTTTTCTTTTTTGAACAATAGGGCTGTTCTCCTATATCCTTTTACGATTTACAAGCTTTATGAAGTATAAAAATGGATATATCCTGGGCAGGAGTATTTCTTTGGGTTATTTTTATTATTAGTCCTAAAAATAATGTCGTAGAATTTCTTATACATTAAATTTAAAATATTATTTGCCAAAATACAATTGATTTTTTTGTCAAAATTAGATTTAACTAAAAAAAAATATGGCGGTCTCCAATTAGTTGTCGCAATTTCTTTGATTTAGTTTTGGACGATTATCACCAAATTTATGGTCATTTATGGACCGATCTTCATAACATTTGGTAGAGAGAATTTGGCTCAAATGAAACTTATTTATGTGTTTTTCGGAGGTTACTTGTATGGGGGATATGCGAAAACGTGGACCGATATTGCCCTTTTTCAATACCAAACAAACCTTACCTATAAGAAATATTTGTTGAAAATTTCAACTCTTGCACTTTCCGTTCGGACTCTAACGTGCTTTTAACAGACAGACTGACTGATGTACATATATACTCTTGTAGATATGTATGTATATACTCTTGTGAGTCTATGATCAATATTTTGATGTGTTACAAACGGAATGACAAAATAAATATACCCCCATCTTTATCGATGGTGGGTATAAAAGCCCCTCAAATTATTTCAATCCAAATTATCATTAATATTTTTAGCATTTTTGAAATCGCAATTCCTTTTCCAAAAAATCGCCGAAACTGTCAACACTGATTGGTTGTTTTTACACACACAAATTTTCGTATTTTATATACATACATATGTATATTCTCATTCGTATTCCAATCAGCTGTTGTATTCTTCTTTTCATTGGAAGTTTGTTTACCTTTTTTTGATTGATTTTATTTCATTTAACCCAGTTGTGTTTTAAATGTTGTGGAAGTCAGTTGTTTAGGCGATAAATACGTAGAAAGATATACGGAGTTAAATCGAAAATAATTTTAGAAAATAATTCAATATTTAGAGAGCAAAAAGAGAATAGATTCCAAGAACTAGAAACAATGAAGAAAGAGAAATAATAATGGAATTAAGAGACTAACACATAGAACAATGAATACGCAACAGAAAAATATAGATTTCGTAATTTTTAGTTTCTTTGTTCGCGCAACGAAGTGAAACGACGTTATTGTCGAGACGTTTTTAATAAATAAAATTTGGTGAATAAAATCTCTTTGAAAATATAAATTTTAAAGTTTTTAAAAATATTTCATAGAACTGGATGGAATAAAAATAAAACGCAAATTATTTTGATGACATTTAATCAGAAGATAGTGTCGATAATACTTAATAATATTTTACACAAATCATTAAAAAAGATATCACAAAAGTTAATCAACCACTCAAGGATTTTTTGTTCTTGTAGTTATCAATTCGGGCGTCAATCTTAATAAAGGGAGATACTTTATTGCAACAAATAAATTTACATTTCTTTTCAAATCTAATATAATTGGAAAATTTCGCCCTTATTTCATCACGTTTGACTTTGGCCAAGAACAACAATTGCAGCAAAAAAATATAGGTATAGAAAGAAGAAAAAATTTAAAAGAAAAACAAATACCTATATCTTACAGCTACAAATACTGTTTGAAGCAGAAATGACAACAAAGGCAAAAATAAATAAATAAATAAACATCGTCGTTGGAACATATGATTATTGTTTTGTTTTTCTCTAATCATCATTGTGCATATATGTACATACATACATATACTCACACATATTCATATACTATATATACAGTTTCTTTGTTGAACAAGTTTGACTATCTGAATTTACTATATATACGTACATGTACATTAGAGGAGTCCAAAAATATCGATTTTGCTCTGATGGGTCTCAGTTTGTTCATTGGTGTCTAAAACTTACTGGTGTTAAATTTTAGTATTTTCATAAAACATGCATTGTTTTGATAGCCACAGTGACGTTTTTTGTTGTTGTTGTTGTGTATGGATGCACTGCAAAGTTGAACTCAAAATATCAAATTAGATAAAATTTATTTTTAGATTAACTAATCTGATTATTAATTGGTATTAAATAGCCAACTCTAAAGCCAGCTCTCAAAATATTTTGAGTTAAATTTTAAAAATGAAAAATTTAATTTGTTATATTGTCTGGAGAATCCTAAGATTTAATATTATGACACTCTTTAAAATTAAAAAAAAACACGTTTTCTTAAATAAACTTTTTTAATAAAGTCCCTAAAATTACCTCACAAAAGTACAGTTAATCACAAAAATAAGTATACAGAAATACTGACGATTGGTTTTATTAAAAAAATATTATTTTTTCAAAAAACAAGAAAGTAACACATTTATTCATTAAAAACAATTATGATAATTATTATTCACTACTTTTTTTCTTCATATTTTGGTTCTTTGAGTTCTCATTTAAGCTAAAGTTAAAAAGGTGCAAAATTTACGTCACAAAAGTAAGTATACAGATTATTTCAGTATATATTTGGTTTAATGATATTAACAAAATTTATGAAAATTTTACTTGTATTAATATAATTACTTTTTAATAAAATATTTTTTACACAATAACTTGGAAAAATCTACTTTTAGTTCCGAAATCTTGAAATTTGGGCCGATTGGCTCCGGAATTAATTAGTAGAACAGTTTTTTCTCATTTCTACGATTTTTTTTCCATTTTAGACCCCGGATTGTGGATCTGGTGGTCATTGAACCCTCCAAATGATGCATTGGAAATAGAATTTTTAACTTTTGAAAAGAGTTGTTATTTCGAAATTAATGTTATATGCATGGATTTGGCCATTTTGAACACAGTACGTTCTTAAAAACCCGAAATTTAACTCCGATTTCTTAAGACTTACAACATAAACTTTAAAATTTGGATAATTCTATATATTTTCTTTAATTTAAACAGGTTTTCCAAATACTCCGATTTCCAAAGCATACAATAATGCTACCAATCATATCTTGATATACTCGATACAATAACCATGTTTTATGGATCGGACATTTTATATGTTCTAGCAACAAATTAAGATGTATCCGTGTTTAAAATTGTTCAATTCGTATTCATACCACCAATTGAGCCTGATTTAATATAAAAATCTTACTATTTTGGACAATAATCAATTTCAGAACCGATATGTAGTGTAAGTTATTGACATGGTCACCATTTGACGATTATTGGTAGTATTTAGGAGTGTGTAATGGATGATTGGAACCAAAAAACTTGTTTTAATTAATGGATACTAGTGCAAATATTATTAATATCGCATTTTAAGACATAGATTTTAGGAAATCGCCGTTAAATATCGAATATGTACGCTATACTATGTTAAAAACGGCAATGTTCCGCAATGGATTGTAATTATTGTGAAGAAACAATTAATTTAAAAGTTAAAATATCGTCTTCCAATGCATCATAATGAACAAACGAGGGATATTATTGAATACCCGATCCAAAACTCCGGGGGTTTAAATAGTCAGATGTTCTTAAATAGGAAAAAATGCTCCTATAAATAATATTCAGATCAATTACCAAAAATTTCAATTTTTCGGAACAAAAAGTGAATTTTTTCCATGTTATAGTGTACAGAATATTTTATTATAAAATAATTACATTCAAACAGGTAAAATTTTCATGAATTTTGTAAATATCATTAAGCCAAATACATATTGAAATTATCTGTATACTTACTTTTGTGACGTAAATTTTGTACCTATTTAACTACACCTTAAATGAGAACTCAAGTAACCAAAATAACCCGGAAAAAAGTAGTGAATAATAATTATCATAATTGTTTTTAATAAATAAATATGTTACTTTTTTGATTTTTGAAAAAATAATATCCTTTTTTAAATAAAACCAATTGTCAGTATTTCTGTATACTTATTTTTGAGATTAACTGTATTCGAATTTTTCCTTTATTTCCATTTCATCTTATTATACGAAACATAAAAATTTTAATCAAATGGTTTTTTGGTTAAAATTGTTTTAAGGAGTTACTATCAAACGAGGGAATATATTTTTGTCCCATTTGGTCCATAATTTTGAGGCGATTGTTCCATCTTTTTACGTAATATCATTATGTAATTATCATTTTGTGAACCTATGTCCCTTTTAAAGGACTTCAAAGTTTTAAAAAGTTAATTTTTCAAAAAAAATATTTTAAAATACTTCTGCCTATCAAACAATGTAAAATTTGATGTCAAACGGGAAGATTTGGAAAATATTTATACCCGACACCACTATAGTGGGAAGGGTATTATGCGTTTGTGCTGATGTTTGTAACGCACTAAAATATTAGTACTATACCCACCTTACCGATTGACTCATAATCTCTTCGATTTAGTCGATTAAACGATGTCCGTCCGTCCGACCGTGTGTCCATGTAAACGTTCTTATCAAAGTACAGTTCGCAATTTTCAAGATAATTTGATAACATTTGGCATACAGTGTGTGACAAAACAATGGAAACTTTTTCTATATATTCACAAATGGACTCAAAACCCAAAAAATTTATTTAAAAAAAATAATTTTTTAGTATTTATTTTGTATATCCTTATTTACTTAAATTAATAAAAATGTATGAAAATAATTCGACCAGTTTATGTTATCTTCAAAGAGTAGACGAGTAGAACGATTCTTTCTAAAAGTAAAAGATTTTCTCGCAGGGTGACTACAGTCAAGACCAGTCTCATTTTCCGTGTGGCTAACCATAGGAGTACTAATTTCGAACTTTATAATAATAATTACTCCTGAGGAGTAATTTTTTGGAATTTTTGGAATTCTATTGTCATCAAATTATCCTGTAATATCCTGTTTTATGAGGTCTTCAACCCATATGTTGAACTTTCACTGTATCTTTCTCATGAAATTTTTTAATATTTTTGAAAGTGTTGATTTATTCATTAAATATTTATAACAGATCAACAAATATTAGGTAAAATTTTAAAAGAAGTATTAAAATCGTTAATTATCTTGATTTTTAAATCTTAGCTCTAGCCATTTTAATTGATGATATAAAAAATTAATTTTGCTAAAAAATTACAAAAAAAAATTTTACAAAATTATCAAAATGAAAAATACCTTGAAATAACTGTAAATCACGACGCTTTTTACACGGTTATTTTGCATATTTTTTTGTAATAATCTTCTTTTCTGTAAAAGTTTCCAATATTTTGTCAGTACCATAATAATAAATAATCGTTATTTGGGTTTCTTTTTACTGAATTTGGTTAATTTTGGTTAATAAATGAATACAAATAAAAATTAATAATAATTATTAATAATAGTTGTGTTTTGTTGCTATCAATGAGTGTTAACGCTTAAAGTTAGCAACAAAACGAACATTACCTGACTTGGCATCACTCCACAGAAGAAATCTGCTAAATCTTGAAATTATTTACATTTTCTTAAAAAAGGTTTTTTTATTTGATATTTTTTTTGATTTAAATTTTATTTTAAAATATTTTTTTATTGTTTGACATAAACACATTAATATTTGTATTTTTATTTTTGAATTGGTAGCACTTTTATCGACGTTAAAATTAACTTGTATAATTGTACACGTTAACTCCTAACGTTTATAAATTTTAAATTTATATGAAATTGCCTTTGAACGTTAGCAACAAAACACAACTAATATATTAATAATAATTTTTGAATTTGGACCATTTCTGAAATATTTAAAAAAGTTTCCATTGTTTTGTCGACCACTGTATATGTTTCTTTTGACCCAAGGACGAAGCCTATTGAAAATCGGTCCATTATTTCACCTAGCCCCCATACAACTGAACCTCCCGAAAATAGCTTATGGGTCCATAATTATATAAAATATAAATTTAGCTCGATAAAAGGTGGCACAACAAAGTTTTATACAAGCCTTGATGACCTTGCCAAATTTTTAAATGATCGGGCATTATTTAACCCTAGCCCCCATAAAAAGTCCCTTCAGAAAGTGACTTTAATATTCACAATCCACTTATTAACACTAATATTGCAAAGGAATTTAACAGATAAATATCAGAGTTCAGAAATATTCATGTACGAACACTTAAATTGATACATTCGTAATAAATAGACATGAATGAAATTAGCAATTTATGTTTTTTATTTTCACATTCGGAAATGAGAAGCTAATTTTTGTTTTATTTTAAGGACACATAAATGAAAACAATTGTATTTTTTATTTTAGCACATATTTGTAAAGTGAATAGTGAAAAATAAAAAATGCCAAATACTCAAATATGTCAAGTCTTCTCATCACACTCATTAATATTTGTATGCATGTGTGATTTGTTTGAAAATGAAAAAAATAAAAACAGGTTTTTTCACAATAAACAAAAAACTTAACAAGGGCAAATAAATACAAATATTCCATTTAGTTGCTTGACAGTATTAAACAAAGTAGGTTGTCGTCGCTTTGTTTCAGAAATTGCAAACATAATTTGTAAAACTAAAAACAAAAATTGAAAAAACGTTCCTGTTTTATTAACAATACAAATTCGTGTAAATTTTAAATGAAAAATATTCTTTGCTTTTAATTT